TCTCGCGGCCAGTCGGTCACACAGGCGGCGGTGCTCAGCCACACCGGGCCCGCGAGGCCGCTCCTTCCCAGGACCCCCCCACGGCCCTCCGTGCCCACTGGGCTCTGCCCCCCGCGTCGCAGCCGCTCGTGCCTCCCTCGTCCGCGTCCACTGCGCGTCCTTGTGTGGCTGGGCATGTGGGGGGGAGGGTGCTCTCTGGGCTGGTGTGGCTGAGTCCCAGGGCCAGGGTTTTCAGGTCCCTGACTGCTGAAACCCGATACTCTGCCCCCGCCCCCTGCCCCCGCCAGCTTGCCAGTGCTGGGCACGGGACAGGTGGGTGCTGGGCGGGCGTTTGTTGGGTGGGGTGGAGTCTCCTAGGAGACCAAGTCACAGACGGAATGGTTCCCCCCCGTACGGCGCCACAAGCTGTGCCGTGTGTGCCTGGCGGAGGCGCATCTCCTTCCTGCGAGAATCCGACACGCGGGGCTTTTGACAGCGATGGTCTCGGACTCTTCTGACCAAGCGAGGGTCTTGCTCCCAGAGCCTCCCCCAGCCTCCGGCGGCTTGATGAGTGACGGCCAGTCACGGCCCCCACGGTGGAGGGGACACTGGGGCAGGGCCGCCTTGGGGAGGGAACCCCAGCTCAAGCCCCGTCGTCCACACTCCCCAAACCCTGCGGCCTGGGGTTCGTGTAGCTCCTGCCTCCCAGACACCCCCTGCCGACCCCCGCGTGCCCCGTGGCCCCTTGGCCCTCCCCCTCGATGCCCACGAGGCCTGGCCCATCCTGCCTGGCACAGCCACTGGCCCAGACACGGCCCCAGCAGCCTGGGCCACCCCGTTCTGAGAAGGGGCGGTTGCGCGGCCTCCGAGGCCACAGGCCGGCTCCTGGGGGCCAGATCGCCATCCCAGGCCCGACGGCCGACAGACAGCTTGGGGAAGGCAGCGTTCTCGCCGAGGCGTTTATTGTGCAGGGAAGGCTGTAGCAGAGTGGCAGAAAGCGAACCCCAGCAGGGCGGACAGGTGTCCACCCGGGCCGTGAGCCCTTTGCTGCGCTGCGGGCTCCCAGCGGCCGGCCGGGGCGTCTCCCTCGACGCCCTCACTGTGTTGGGTCTGTCCTGCCGTCACTGTGAGGTGAACGTGGCCTTGCCACCCCGCTCAGTCCATGCTGCGGTGACACTGCTTGTTCACAGCTCGCTTCTCCGGAGGGCGGGGCAGCCTGCTCATCTGTCAGTCCCCAGGGGAGGGCACGTGCCCGGGACTCTGGCACGGCCTTCCCAGGTTCCCAAGCGCTCTGGCCGCTGCGGACCCGGACCCGCTGGGGCTTGTCCCATCCCCCCCACGCCCGACCTGCCCCGGGAAGCACAGCCCCTTGGCCCAATGACAAGCTACCGAGAAACGAGGAGAAAGTCGACAGCAGACGCCAAATTTACAGCAGGAGCGAAGCCACTCAAACACCGACAGAGCAGCGCAGACCGCTAACATTTGGGGTTCCCCTGGGGACGTCGCAGAGCACAGGACTGACGACTGGGCTGTGCGGGGTGTGCCCGCCTCCAGGTAAGAGCCACGGTCCCCAGCGACCGAGAAGACGGAACGTGTCGCACTCGCAGTGGGCTCCTCCAGGACCGGCCGTAGCCCGGGGACGACACCCTGTGTTTGACAGTCTGGGACTGGACGGGACCAAATGTCACAGCTTGAAGCATCCACTTTGGTGGTGGAGAAACACGAGCGAGCTGGGCCGTAAACGCTTTTCCTGGGTCTCTAACCATCTGGACGCCTGCAGGGCTGGCCAGTGAGTGTGGGATCCCTGAGCTGCTAGCGAGGGGGCAGCGTCTGCATGTGGAGGGCATCATAGGTGTCCTTGGTGGCTGTGCTGAGCCCCTGGGGAAAGCAAATGAGTAAAGACAGCAGGTCAGGAGCCCCGTAGGGCACAAGCCAGCAGGTGTCTGCGGCACAGCCTGTGCCCACCCGCCCAGGAGACGTGGCCTTCGTGCCAGGGGCTGATGGTTCTGTCAGTTGGGCGTGGCCTTGGCACTCCCTCCCAGCAAAACTGTCCCCTGCTTCCCAGCTTCCCAAGTGCCAGGTGCCGCCGTGCTTTGGCCGAGCCAGCCTCCTGTCCGCCAGACGCGGTGCGGGGAGGGGCGGCGTTGCCCAGGCCACAGCACCATGGTTCTGTTCTCCGTCAGGGAGCGGGCGGGCTGGACCCCATCTCGCTGCTGCGCCTCCCTCCCGGGTCCCAGAGACAGATGAGCAGCGGCCACATTCTGTGGCCCTCGTGACGTCACTGAGCCCAGGCAAGACGCGCAGCCTGCCACGCTGGAGTGAGTGGGGCAGGTGACCTGGGCAGAGCCCAGGGTGGCCAGAGAGCAGCGGGAGGCAAGACGCGCAGCCTGCCACGCTGGAGTGAGTGGAGCAGGCAACCTGGGCAGAGCCTAGGGTCAGAGAGCAGTGGGACATCCCCAGCAGGCGAGCCGGGCTCGGTGTGCGTGACACACTGCCCTGCATCGGCCACGTCCCTGACCACAGTGACCTTTCCAAAACTGCCCTGCATCGGCCACGTCCCTGACCACAGTGTCCTTTCCAAAGTTGTTGTTCTTGATTTTTTTCCTTTCAGTCTTCCCGCCCATCCTGCCGTCTTACTAGGTCTGAGGATGCGAGGCAGAGCGAGGCTTGTGCTAGGGGCCTGGGCAGTGGAGGGAGAGGCCGCACGTGGCAGCGTGGCGTCCTTGGCCTGCATCTGCCCTCAGGGCCACACGGCACAGCCCTGGGCGGCTGCTGTGCCCAGTGCCGGGGGTCCCCAGGCCTGCTGCAGGACTGACTGCACGAGGAGCCACCGGGGGTCTGAACAGGTACCCCAGGCCCAACCTGCCCAGCTGCTGGCAAGAGCTGGTGCTGCCAGCAAGCCGGACATGGGCACCTGACGTCGCCCGTCTCGACAGTGCCACCCTGAGGCCACCGCGCTCACCTGGTAAAGGCCATCGTGCCCCTTCCCTCTCCGGCGCTGGTTCTGGGGAGAGACGAGAAAAGGCTAAGTCGGTCCGCAGAGGCCCCCACAGGGCGAGGTGCCTGTCTCCCAGCCAGCACTCCCGGCCCTGGGAGAGAAGGGCCCTGAGGCCACCAGTCGGACAGTAGCCCCTGCAGAGCAAGGTGAGGCCTGGCTCCGAAAGGGCCCGGTTTGCTCTGCTCTCACGGGAACAGCCCCCACGCCCGCTGCTGGAACACACGGGCGTCCCACAGCCCTTGATCTGGCTGGTCATCGAAGCTGCTGGTCATGGCAGCTCCACAGTGGTCACGAGCTCTGGCCTCCTATTTACTATCCACGTGACCTTGGGTGTGACATTGAACCTCCTATGCCTGGCAAGGCACACGTGTCTCATCGTGTGCCTTGGAAATTAATTACCATGGAAATTAAACGAGGCCATTTAACTGACCAAGCACCGCCCAGGCGTCCTGTGCGGAGCCCTGCTCAGAAGGGGCCATGCTGTGTTGTCACCTTCCAGGACTTCTGGAGGCACTGGGAACGCGGGGCCCTGTGGTCCCCAGCACTGAACCCCTGTTAGACACTTAGTAATTACTGTCATTCGTGGTGACCGATCCGACCTGC